GATCATAAATCTTTTGTTATACAGGAGTGTGTTCGGGAGACAGATTGGGACGGATAGGAAGCTGGCGGATGTTAGACCTTTTGGATCTCGTCCAAGGGTGCGTGTCTTTTGCTTGCTCCTAATCCTAAAGTGCTACATTATCGCTTGCCAATCCTCTTTGTCCAAATTAAAAAAGATGTGTCCTGAACTTAGTGGTCTCCAAACCTTAGAAGAATGTGAGTCAATGTCAATTAGGAAAACATGTTAGATTTCCCTTTCCTAAAAGGTCTCAATCAATATGTAATTTCGTTTTTCCATCATCCATTTTGATATATGGGGACCTAGTCGTATCTCCTCCTTTGGTTTTTAATATTTTGTTACCTTTATTGAGGAATATTCAATATGTACTTGGGTTTAACTTATGAAAAATCGTTCTGAATTGTTTTAGCTATCTTTTACATCCTTTTTGAATGAAATCAAGAAGCAATTGTCAAGTAATAAAATTTAAGCAAGTGATAATGCAAAGGAGGTATTTCTCATCCTCCTTTTTCCATCTTGAGTTTCCCCATGGTATCTTACAATCAGTCTACTTGCCCTCATACACGACAACAAAATGGTATAGCAGAACGAAAAAATAGACACTTGGTTGAAACTGCTCGTACCCTTTTGATTGATGCCCATATTCCTGTCCATCACTAGGGGATGCCATTTTAACTGCATGTTATCTTTAATAGGATGCCCCCTCCTCCTCTCTTGATAATAGTCCCTTTCTCCATTTTGTTTCCTAATGATCCTCTCTTTCATACATCTCCCCGAGTGTTTTGCTGTGTATGTTTTGTTCATGACATGTCTCCAGGTCTAGACAAACTCTCCGCTCGCGCTCTCAAATGTGTCTTCTTAGGCTATTCTCGACTTCAAAAAGGATAATCGGTTGTGACCTCCTGAAACTAAGAAGTATTACATGTACTGCCAATGTCCACATTTCTTTGAACAGGACTCCTTACTTCTCTCCATCGTTCAGGATGTTTCTAATCCTCCACCAGGTCCTTCCTATTTCAAGGCTGAGTCAATAGCTTCACTGTCTCTGTATTCCATTCCTTGATCACAATCCTTCTACACATGTTTCTCTTCACAGACTGGATCATCCCACAAGGGCCCCAATGGATATCCCACCTCCCCAAGACCAAGGTGATCTCCTACTTTAGATTCTTCTCCGTCACCTCCTCCCACGCCTCCTGGTGGCAAATATTTAGCATGACCTATGGGCCTCAAAAAGGTACTCGTTTCACTATTCAACTCGGAAACCCTCATTCCCATTTATAATTTTCTAAGCTATCATCGATTGTCGTCCTCCTATTTTTCTCTTTTATCCTCAGTGTCCTCTGTTGTTATACCCAAGAATGTGAAAGAAGCACTACATAATCCTGGATGGCGACAAGCTATGATTGTAGAAATGCAGGCTCTTGACCACAGTAATACTTGGGAGTTGGTGCCCCTTCCCCCAGGAAAAAAGGCGGTTGGTTGTCGATGGGTGTATGTAGTTTAAGTGGCCCTGTGTGAAATTGATCTGATCGGCTCAAGCTCGCCTTGTTGTCCAAAGGTTACCTCAGGTTTTATGGTCTTGATTTTGTGACACTTTCTCTCCCTGTAAGCACTATGACTACTAGTCGTCTCTCTTTGCCATGGCAGCAAGTCGTTCCACTAGCCACTTCATCAATTGGATATCAAGAATGCCTTCCTACATGTTGATCTTGAGGAAGAAGTTTATATGGAGCAACCTCCTGGGTTTGTTGCTCATGGGGAGTCTGGTATGGTATGCAAATTGCATCCTCGTATACTGCCTCAAGCATCCCCACGTTCTTGGTTTGGAATTTAGCTCATTGTTCAAAAAATTTGGGCTAAAAACGCAGTGAACAGACCATTAGTTTTTTATTGTCATTCATTCTCTCGGGAAATTTTTTACTAATCTATAATGTTGATATATTGTCATTACAGGAAATGATGCCTGTTGGAATATCTCCCTAAGAGTACTTTTGTAGACATGTTTCAAACCAAGATCTTGGAATCTCAAAATACTTTCTTAGGCATTGAAGTCGCGCAATCAAAATGTGGGAGTTGTATCCCCAAAGGAAGTAATGCTGCTCTGAGATATTACAGAAACATGCATGATTGATTGTAGACCGGTAGACAGTCCCATGGACCAAACCAAAATGAAGGACAGAGGGAGAGGTGACATATTCTCCGATCCAGAGAGTGTTAGGAGGCTAGTTGGCAACTGATTTATCTCACTATTACAAGGCCATAATCATCCTTTGCATTGGAGTGGGTAGTCCAGTTCATGCAGGCTCCATGTTTGACCATTGTATGCTTTCATTCGCATTCTAAGTATTAAAGAAGGCTCTCAGGGCAAGGATGGTTATATGAAGATAAAGGAGCATCATGTCTCTGGATAATTGGTGTACAGATTGGGCACGGTCCCACCTATTGATAGACGGTCTACACACAGATATTGTGTTTTTCTGGGAGGAAACATTAATTTCATGGAAAAGTAAAGAAACAGAATGTAGTAGCCCGATCAACCGCGGAAGCCGAGCTATAGGGCAATGACATCATTAACATGTGAACTTATATGGTGACCAATTCTCTTCAAAGAGGTTAAATTTTGTGACATCCATACCTTGAAGATGTATTGCGACAATAAGCTCTCTCCCACACTTGCATCAAATCCAGTGTTTTCACGAGAGGAAACTAAACCATATAGTAAATTTTGATTGTCATTTTGTTCGTGAAAAGTTGTTTTGACCAAAGAAATATGTACTGAGTTTATTGGTCAACGATCAACTCGCAGATTATTGACCAAATCATTAGGGTCCTCGGATTGAGTTTTATTTTTCAAGTTTGGTACATACAATTTGTATGCTCCAGCTTGAGGGAAGTGTTAGGAATATTTTCCTATTTTATCACATTATAGTGTGTCAAGGGTTACCCTATTTATCATATATATTTGTGTCTAGATTACCTTATTTATCATGATTATATTGTGTCTAGGGTTACCCTATTTATCATGTACTTGTGTATCAATTTATTCTAATAAATAGAAGATTGTGAGAGGGATCAATCAAGCCCTCAAGAATTATTTCTTTTCAATCTTAAGTGCTTCTTCTTCTAATAATTCTCAGGTAAGTCACATTCTTCAACTCTAGGACTTTCTCAAGAGCAAATTCATGGTCTATTGACACTTCTTCCTCAATCTAATCTCATAGTCACACATTCTACCGGTATAGTGAGTTCTCATAATGTTTTCACTTCTTGTCAGGATCAAGGTAATATCTATTCCCAATGGATTCTAGACACAGGTGCTACTGATCATATATCCAGTTCTTTGTCTCGTTTTATTTCTTATCATAGAATTTCACCAATTACAATATCACTACCCAACAAGAACTTTTCATTTGCTCTTTTTTCTGGCACAGTTTCTCTTGGCCCACACCTTACTTTACCTAATGTCTTGTTTGTTCCTAATTTTTCGGTCAATCTTATTTCGGTCACAAAGTTAACTAAATCTCCATCTCGTAAAATTACCATTTCTGAATTTTCATGTGAAATACAGGACAAGTCAACCCTGCAGATGATTAGGAAAGCTGAAAAAAGAGATGGCTTGTATATCATGATAGTTCTTGCATCCACATCCCTTGGTTCACCAACTTATATTACTCTTGAGAATTATATTGCTTGGTCTACAATAAGACCTAACTCTATAGATATTTGGCACTCTAGACTAGGGCATCCTTCTTTTTCTTGTTATATCAAATTACGTAACATGTATGCCACTTTACCTGATACAAAATACACTCACTGTGATACTTGTCACTGTTCTAAGCAAAGAAAATTACCTTTTCAATTAAGTACTACTATTTCAAAAGCTCCTTTTGATTTAATTCATGTTGATATTTGGGGGCCCTATTGTATCTCTTCTGTTGGTTTCAAATATTTCTTAACTATAGTGGATGATATGTTTAGATATACATGGATTAATACAAGATCACAACTTATTCTCTTTGTTTCTTATATCAAAACACAATTTGGCATTGATGTAAAAGCTTTTAGATCAGATAATGGTAATGAGTTTGCAATGACAGATTTTTATAGACAAAAAGGGATACAACATCAATTATCATGTGTTGAAACACCTCAACAAAATGGAGTCGTTGAGAGAAAACATCAACACATTCTCAATGTTGCTAGATCTTTAATGTTTCAATCTCATTTGCCCATAATTTTCAGGTCTTTCACTGTTTGTTATTATGTGGAACTCATTAATATTTTACCTTCCAAAGTTTTGATATATTTTTCTTCATCTCAGCTGTTACACAATGTTAAATCTGACATTACTTACGAGTTTTTGGCTCATTTTGCTATGCTTCAACTCTTGAAGCTCATAAAACAAAATTTCAACTGCATACAAGAAAATGTGTTTTACTTGATTTTAAAAAAGGAGTGAAAGACTACCTTTTGTTAGATTTCAACTCTATGGAAATTTTTCTGTCAAGGAATGTAATATTTTATGAAAACATATTTTCTTTTCTTACTAGTGACAACACTCACCTATTGATACACAAAATTCTTTAGATTTTGTCACCAAAATTTTTTTATCTCCATCATCTCTTTTCTCAAAAGTTATTGATCAACCCTCTTTACCACCTACATCTTCTCCTTCTATTGTTTCTGACCCTGTTATTTTTTCTTCTCAACCTGTTTTTGTTGAACCTGCCACTGCTATTCTACAAAGGAAATCAACCAGGCCAAAACATAAACCATCTTATTTGCAGGACTATCATTGCAACATGTTATCTACTTCTTCCACCACTCAGTCATCTATGGGTACCTTATATCTTATCTCTTCATATCTCTCATATGATGCATTATCATGTCCTCATAAATCATATGTCATTAATCTTTCCCAAGTTAGTGAACCTAAAACCTATAACCAAGCCATCAAACATGATTGTTGGAGAAATGCCATGGATCAAGAAATTGCAGCTTTAGAAAATGCCAAAACTTGGGTTTTGACTAATCTTCCTTATGGAAAGCAACCTATCGTATGTAAATGGGTATACAAAATAAAGAGGCATGTTGATGGGAGTATTGAACGATACAAGGTAAGGTTAGTAGCCAAAGGCTACACACAACAACAAGGCTTAGATTACCTTGAGAATTTTTCACCTGTTGTCAAACTCACAACAGTAAGATTGGTTTTTGCTTTATCAGCTTCTAAATATTTGTATTTACATTAATTAGATGTAATTAATGTTTTTTTACATGGGGATCTAGATGAAGAAGTATACATGTCTCTTCCTCTTGGCTACAAAACTGAAAAACCAAGGCAAGTTTGCAAGTTGTTGAAGTCTTTATATGGACTCAAACAGGCCTCTAAACAATTGAATTACAAGTTAACAACTACTTTACTCTTTTTGGGCTACATACAATCAAAACCAGATTATTCACTTTTTGTCAAAAGTGATTCTGCTTATATTACCATCTTACTTGTTTATGTAAATGATATAGTCTTGGCAGGTGATGACATCCAGGAAATTCAAACTGTGAAGACTCTGTTGAATGCAAAGTTTAATATTAAAGACCTAGGCCAACTCAAGTATTTTGTAGGCTTAGAAATTGCAAGATCTCAACAGGGCATTAATTTGTCACAAAGGAAGTATGCACTAGAGTTACTAAAAGATGCAGGATTGTTGGGATGTCAACCTGTTTCTACTCCCATACAGCTAGGCACAAAATTTTCCAAGACAAAAGGGAAACCCTATTCAGATGTACATGCCTATAGAAGACTTCTTGACAGGTTACTATATTTAACTAACACAAGACCATATTTATGTTTCGTTATTACTCTCAATCAATTTCTTTCCAATCCTTTGGAAGATCACTATGCAACAGCAATAAGGATCTTGAGATATATCAAGAATAATCCAGGACAAGGATTATTCTTTCCCTCCAACACAGAACATGATCTCAAGGCTTTTAATGATTCTGATTGGGCTGCTTGCCATAACACTAGAAGGTCTGTGGCTGGTTTTAATGTGTTCTATGGTGTATCATTAATCAGATGAAAATCCAAGAAGCAAGGTACTATATCTAGATCATCAACCGAAGCAGAATATAGAGCCTTAGCTTCCACAATATGTGAAATTCAATGGCTTTTGTATTTGCTCCATGATTTGAAACAACCTCTACCACAATCAGTTCCTCTTTTTTGTGATAATCAATCTGTTATACTAATTGCATAGAATCCATCCATGCATGAGAGGACAAAGCATATTGAAATTGATTGTCATCTCATAAGGGATAAAGTTCAAGCTGGTGTAATTAAACTCCTGCCCATTTCTACTTCAGCGCAACTTGCAGACATTCATACTAAAGCTTTGCATCCAGCACAATTTCAATCTTTGTTGTCCAAGCTAAGCATTAAGGATATATATGCTGCCGCTTGAGGGGGTATTGGATTTAATTTATTTTTCGCTCATATTTGTTCATATATTTATATTATGTTTTTATATTTATATTCCATTTTTATATTGTTTTAAACAACTATATATATAATTTGTACTCTCTCTTTATTATTGAATAAGATATACAATTTTCATCCTTTATTTTCTCATAACACTCAATGCCTCTAACTTAACACACAATTGTACCAAAATTTCCAAACAAATTTATCATCATAAATAAAAAATAGTAATCATCCATAACATATCTCTAAGTACATATCTTCAATCAACGATCCCACATATCAAACTAAAGAATTATATGTTACATATTAGTTATCAAAACTTCAACATAATCTAATAGTTAACAAGAAACTCAAACTTATCAAAGTTGTCCAACGTTACAAAAATTTGTAGTCATCCGACGATTAGTTTTTTCTCTTCCAGCGAAAATCAGATAAAAATCACCATTTTCTTGTCTCTGAATGACAAAAGCCCTCGCACTAGTGTAGAAAAGGCCTTTAATGTCACTCTTTGGACGTCCGACCCTCGAATATCCCACGTTAAAAATGACTGGTGGCACTTCTATAAATAAGTTAATGTTGTTGACGTCCGACCGGGGTGGTCCCCAACGTCTTATCTCTTTATAGACGTTCGGGCCCCTATGTCGTATGTTTGATGGTGGCAAAGAATACCAAAAGTTCGCAGCGTAGACGTCCGGGCCCCTATGTTGGACGTCTGATGTCTTTATAGACGTTCGGGCCCCGACACCTAAAGACGTGAAAGGTAGGTGAAAAGGTACCCTGTTCCATTTATTTTAGACGTTCGGACCCCTATGTCGGACGTCTGATGGTGGCAAAGAATACCAAAAGTAATTTTATTTCGCAGTATAGACGTTCGGGCCCCTATGTCGTACGTCTGATGTCTCTATAGACGTCTGGGCCCCTATGTCAGACGCCTAATGACCTGATAGGTAGGTGAAAAGTTGCCATGTTCCATTGCTTTAGACGTTCGGGCCCCTATGTCGGACGTCTGATGTCCCTACAGACGTCCGGGCCCCATATATCGGACGTATATAGCCTCCGCCAAAATTATTTTTTAAATACACATAGATGTTCGGGCCCCATATGTCTGACGTTTGATGTCTCTATATACGTATGATGGGGGAGGGCCCCGACGTCTAAGGCTGTTTTATTACATTTGCGCGAACTCAGGACAGTTATGCACACTATTCATCATCTTCCTCCTCGCAATTTGTCTCGTGGCTTTGCATTTTCAGGTTCGTTTATTCTCTTTTGGACCGTTTAAACTTACTTTTACTCCGATTAAATTAGTCTTTGATGGATTATCTTCCATTTGAACCGATTAAAATGAGTTTTCGCTATGTTTTGGTGCAGTTTTGCTCGTTTCCTTAGACGACGATTTCTTGCGTTTTGGGCAGCGTTTGTTTGCGTTTTCCACTCCTCCAATTCCAATTCCTCCATTACGTTTGTAATCCGTTAAGAAGGTTAGCATTGTTGTTTAAAAGTTTGTCTATGCGTTTTATTGGCTTTTCGGTATGTTTGTTTTTGGCATTTAGATATGTATGTTATTAACTTTTGAATATGATATTATTAGCTTTCGAATTTGCATGTTGTTGACTTTTGAATTCACATGTTGTTGGCTTTTGAATATATACATGTTATTGACTTTTGTGTATATATATATCAATCTTTATATTCCGAGTTGAAGTATGAAATTTTATATTTAATGACAATACAAGTGATAATCTCTAAAGTTGTCAATCTTTATATTTCAGAAAAATCTCAAAAAATAAAAAAATTAAGAATTATTGGAAAGTTGAATAGAATATTTTCTACCATCAGATATATGTTAAATAATATTTAAATTAATTTAAAAGTATATGAAATTATTGTTATAACCGCTAACAAATACGGAGGCAGTACAAACCGACCGGAGTAATTCAGATAACCTATTATTTACGGGAGTTGCTCCCTCCACCACCATCAACCACTCCCTGCACCTCTCCATACCTAATTTGTCCTTCTATAAAACGGATGTCAACATTCGTCTCACCTTCAACGGATGTTGACATCCGTTAATAGATGTGCCACATCCGTTTAATAAATTTTTAAAAAGTATTTTATTTATTATTTAAATAATAATATATACATTAAATTAATAATAATTATTTTATTAAATAAAATAAAATTAATTTATAAATAATTAAATAATAATTTTTAAAAAATTAAATAACATATATATATATATATTAATTTAAAATATAAAAAATTAAAAACAAAAAAACAAAAAAAAGACAACGGATGTTGCCACATCCGTTTAATATATTTATAACAAATTTTTTAATTATTATTTAAATAATAATACATAAATTAAATTTAATAATAATTATTTGGGTTAAATATGTTTTTAGTCCCTAAACTATTGGCCGTTTCTGGTTTTCGTCCCTCTTTCAAAGTAAGGTACAATTTGGTCCTCATTCTTTTCGAAAACGTTCGTTTTAGTCCTCGAAAACTAATACCGTTTAAGAATTTGGTCCTCATTTAGCAACAAAACGAGGACTAAAACCAAAGTTCTGAGGACTAAAACGAACGTTTCGAAAAGAATGAGAACCAAATTGTACCTTACTTTGAAAGAGGGACGAAAACCAGAAATGACCAATAGTTTAGGGACTAAAAACATATTTAACCCTAATTATTTTATTAAATAAAATAAAATTAATTTATAAATAATTAAGTAATAATTTTAAAATAATTAAATAATATTTATACATTAATTTAAAATAAAAAAATAAAAAAAAAACTAAAAACCAAAAAAAAAATGCAACGGATGTCGCCGTTAATGGACGTGGCACATCCGTTTTAATATATTTATAACAAATTTTTTAATTATTATTTAAATAATAATACATAAATTAAAATTAATAATAATTATTTTATTAAATAAAATAAAATTAATTTATAAATAATTAAGTAATAATTTAAAAAAAATTAAATAATATTTATATATTAATTTAAAATACAATAAATTAAAAAAATAAAAATTAAAAAAAAAAAAACTCAACGGATGTGGTACATCCGTTAAAGAATTTTTTCTTCAACAGATGTTGACATCCGTTGAAGAAAAGAGGTGGGGGTGTAGGATATTTTAAAATATAAAGGATAGTTTTGAAATTTTATAAAAATGTAGTGGTACAGGAAGCAAAGTGGGGTGGTGTAGGGAGTAACACCCGTTATTTACGAGGGAAGCCCACATTGAATACTTGCATGCATGTTGGACAACAGCCAAACCCAAACTTGGCACTTGTTTGCCTCTAACGCGCACAACACACCAACTCTCTGCACCACACCTGCACGCCTTAAACTTTCAACATTGCTTACTTCTTTTCATCTTACAATATAATTTTCACTCTATCTCGTAACCTACTCTGTTTGAAGTTGAATTGCATTTTTTATAATTATACGTTATCTGTAATAAATTTCTCAATTTTCATATTAAATTATGTGATACATGGGCTAAAAATTTGATGATCACGATGAATTAATGGTATTAGCTGAAGTCAAACTCTTAGAACTTTAAAGACCAGATAGAAGATCAAATTGGTCACTTTCAAAAATGTATACTGAAATTTAAAATATGGGAAACAAATTTATCCCAATTATATTTAAGGGTGAAAATAAAATTAAACTAAAATATGAAAATGAAAATTAAATTGTCATAGTTATATAAGTTGTAAGAAAAATAATATTATTCTTGTCATTGTTTGTCAGTATTTATGCGCTGGACAGTCGAGGGCAGAATGAAACCTGTTCCTCATGCAAAACCTCTACGCACCATGTATCATGTACGTGTCAAGAAAAGCAGCCCTCACTTTTCTCTATAAGACCACCTCTGACACTGTCTCTCTCTCTCTCTCAGTAACGCGAATACGCAAGTCCTAATCTTTCTCTAGAAAGACTTATTATTCCTGATCTTTTGCATCTTCTTCATTGTTACTCAAAACTTCACCATCCATCATGAGTGTTCGCACACAAGCACCCCACCATGTCCAGGTCCACACCACAACCCAAAGCTACGAAGCTGGTGTCGTTCCTGGACCTCGATATGAGCGTGCTGGTGTTCCCCCACAGTTTTATGAATCTGGAGGTAAGACTGGTTCTTACCCTGCCGAGAGAGTTCCCTCCGCCTCCCAGATCCTCGCTGTTGTCTTCGGCCTTCCGGTCGGTGGCGTCCTCCTTCTTCTGGCCGGACTTACTCTGGCAGGAACTTTAACTGGGCTGGCGGTGGCGATCCCGCTTTTCATTCTGTTCAGCCCAATTCTGGTTCCAGCCACCATGGTAATCGGGCTGGCAGTGGCGGGGTTTTTGACGGCGGGAGCTTTCGAGCTGACGGCTGTGTCGTCGTTCTCGTGGATCTTGAATTACATCCGGGAGAGCCAGGGGCCAGTGCCGGTGAACCTGGCGGTAGCGGCGAAGCATCAGCTGGCGGATGCTGCAGAATACGTGGGGCAGAAGGCAAAGGAAGTGGGGCAGAAGACAAAGGAAGTTGGGCAGGATATACAGAACAAGGCTCAGGATGCAAAGGAAAAGAGTCTGCAGGAAGCAAAAGATGCAAAGGAGATGAAGAGAACACCACTAACAGCAACAGCCACAACAGACTTAGTAATGTGATATGATGCGGTTTATGTTCGGAAATAATAATGTACCTCTTGGTTTGCACTTGTCAGTGCTGTGTCTTCAGTTATTGTATGTAGGTCTGTTTTTTGTTGTCTGGCTTGGTTTGTAGTTTTTGTTGTCTAGCTTGGTTTGTAGAGGGATGTACTTTGGTTCATGCCATATAAAGGGGTACTACTAGTTGCCATTCTGGTGTATATGGACGCTGGAAATGTGTTCTGTAGTTCTTCACTTCACTGTTGAGTTCAATGTGAAATTTGTTTTGCCTTGGTTATCGCTTTCTTTCTTCTAAAACAACGATAATTTTAAACAGATTTGTTAATTATTTTAGCATAATAAAAATCAAAGCACGTACAGATTCCACCTAAGAAAGTTTTCTTAACTGCATAGCACTTTAACCAGAAACCCTTTAGATTTGCCACCAACATCTTTTCAGCACAAGCTTTGAGATGCAGAAATATCAATTATTATCCGGTCAACCTTGAACTAACAACCATAATCTAAGACTGATGACTTTTCGGGCTGAGTTTTCAGGCCGAACTTTTTCTGGACCCATTATTTCAGGCTGTGACTGATCACCCTGACCGGCCGAGACGTTGGACATTTCCCCGTGACTCACCATTCTGATATGACCGAACGATCGATCATCTTGACTAAACGGTAACAAAAAGACTGTTAATGCTTATTAAAATATGGTTGGGCCATGTTAACCTTCCATTTTTCTTTTTTTTTCTTTAATAAAATTTCTTTTTCAGTTTTAATTAGTTTCTAAATTTTTAGAATTAGGTTTTTACTTTTTTATAAATATTTGAGTTTTCTGAAAAATCATTTAAAAAGTTGTTTTTAGTACTGTTTTGATATATATAATAATCTTTATTCCATTTAGAAAAATAAAAATTGGAAATATAAAAAGTTTTTTAGATAGGTTCCACCAATGGCTCGGATGGACTTCAGTCTAGGAAAATGTCTCTATCCAGACCAATAAAATAATAAAAATATAAAATAATGACACATCGTCTGTTGTCAAAAAATTATTAAAAAAAGTTGTTAAAATATCATAATCCAATTTTCTATAGGTTAACTCTCAAGCAGACCAATCAATCCTTGGTACAGATTCTCAGCTCCTTAAAACAAAAACATTTTGACACCCATTGTAAGACCCGAGAACGAGAGAAGAAACCTTATGGCAACCACAAGGAGTATGGCAGAGTAACCAGATCCAGCAAAGTTAGTTCGAGAGATGCAGAAACAAATGCTAGAAATACAAAGAAGGTACAGTACAAAAACACTAAAAATAGAGCATACTGTTGGGCAGAGAGAACAATCCACCCGGTAGTCAATATCACTTACTCATGATCCTAGAGGGAGAATGGTCAGATAGAAGAGTAAGGCAAAACAGGGTAGGAAGCAAGTAGTGTTGTAACTAGGACCACCTGTTCGGTCCAAGAAAATCAGGCAAAGGGTTTGCACCGTTCACGACTATGATAATGGAGGCACCAATGCTAAAAAAGATGCCCCCGTGTTTGAGAAATATGACAAATTAACCGATCCGAACGAGCATATTTAATCCTTTGTAAATGCAATAGTTTTTTACTCATCCAGCAACACGGTATGGTGCAAGGCATTTTCTGTCTCTAAAATGGAAGGCATTGGCATGGTGTATACATTACCACTAAATACATTGAATTACTTCAACACCATACGAAATCTGTTTAGCCAATAGTATGCGTCCAGACAAGTTCAAAGCCTTACTTATCTTACATTGATAAACATTAAGCAAGGTAAGGATGAATCGCTAAAAGACTTTACAGACCGTTACAACAAGACCGTTCAACAGGTAAATGAGGTGAGTAAGGAATTTGTACTGAATAGTTTGTTAATAGCCTTGAGGGCTGACCCATTTGTCGATAGTATGTGTGCCAGACCCCCAAAAACCATGTGAGTTGTAAGAAAGGGCAGTTTAATTCATACGTATAGAGGAGATGCACATTTTTCGCAAGGGGCAACAAGACAAGGCAATTGCTTCATCCGTGTAGAGGGAACGAAGGGAAGGTAAGAAGTCGTTCAACCAAGGAGATGTAGGAGGTGGTCTAAAGCCTAGGGATCTTCCCAAGGAACCCAAGTTTAACTGGTATACACCGCTAATCACTTCAAGGGCCAAGATTTTGGAAGACCGCTAAGTAAGAATCCAACCCTAAGAAATGCTAACAGTAGGAAGTATTGACGGTACCATCAAAACCTTGACATACTATCAGGCAGGACATTTGAGGAAGTACGTGAAGATGAGCAGATGAGCGAGTGGAGAAAAATCCTCCCAAGTAAGGTATGTTAAAGACAAAATCATTTACAAGCCAAAAAGCTTTGATGCTTTGAAGTTTAATCAAAAGCTTAAAAGATCTTCCACGCAAGATCCGCCACAAGAGTTAATGTTTTAAACTTTAAAAAAATTCTTCCGGATAGTGATAAAAAGCAGCCCTAACGGACAAAACTTAGCCACGTTAGCTTGTTAAAACGTGTTTAAAATGTGAAAGACCCTAGAGTGTTCTAGGAAAAAAATGTCTAATCAAAGAACATTCAATGTAGTTAAGACATTAAACAAAATAAATTGCATTCAGTGATGGAATTTACAATGGGCGACATCCTCAAGCATCACAAAATTTTCAAGAAAGGAAACCAGACTAGAAAGCTTACGAAATTAACAAGGCCGTAGTTGATTTCTTGATACAACAGCCAAACAAAATTGTCGCGGGGTGGGAGAGGAAGGAAATATTCAGTTCAATGAAGAAGTGTTTGGGGTTGAGATCCAGCTTCAGCGTCATTACCACCATTATCAGTTTTCAACTTTGAATCATTATTAGGTATCCAAAACGTGAGAACACTTGAAGCTGCAGCGAACATGGCTCTGCGAGGCGCCCACTTCAAGCACGAAGGCACGCCAATAGAGCTGCTCCAACTTGCCACCTGCATGGAAGAAAACCAGATGCTTGTCATATTTCGCGCTAATACATTGATAAAATATAAAATACTGGTTTAAAGTGACTTCTTTTTTATTCACAAATTATGTACCCTGCCAAATAATGTTGTTTTGAAGTTTATTAAAGATAGAGAATTTACTTTTTTTACAATGCAAAACAAATGTATAAATAGTTTACCTACTTGTGACTTAGGACTTTTACTGATAATTTTTATGTATAAATAAATGTGATCTTCAATATTACATATTTTTATTTTCTTAGTATACTTTGATTTGATCCCTTCATTATTGTATTTGTTTTTCTTTTGAATTTTATCAAAAATATTGGTACAAATTGCAATCTCTTAATTTTAAGCTCAATCTTTTATTCTCATCTATTTTTATTGGAACATTACCCTAAACCATAAAATTGTAATCTCTTAATTTAAGCTTATTTTATTTTCTCGTCTACTTTTTATTGGAACATTACCCTAAACCATAAAATTGTAATCTCTTAATTTAAGCTCATTTTATTTTCTCGTCTACTTTTTATTGGAACATTGCTATGTGTTGTACTTATGAATTGAATTTAGAACTCTAGTTTTGTCCTTTGACTTTACACTTACGGTAGTAAGTATAATATGATACTATACGATACGAATCTTCACCTACACGATACGAATCGCTTGAAGACTCGTTTTGGCTCCTGTATCGTGTTCGTATAGTACGATTCGATCTCCAAATTGCATGAATCGCCCCGAATCGTAGCATTCATTGGTAGAGATGTTACTCGTTGTGGCACCGCTCACGGCTCTCTTGCTGTAGCGACTCTCGCGACGGCGCCTCTCGCGGTGACCTCTCGCTGCCTAGCGGTGCAATTCCTCCAGTGATGAGCGAGAAGAAGCCGAAAGACATTGCGACAACAATGCGTCCCTCGGTGGCTACTCACGGCGACGACTCTTATGTCATCAACGTATCTGGCGCTGTGGCAGGACCTCAACGTTAGTCTCGTGTGTGTACGTGAGCAAGGATAGACAACCCTACGACTTTTAGTGGGTTGGAATTTGAACCCGTTCTTAACCTAAAATTTTAGCCCATTTTGTTTAAGACATTTTAAAGCCCAATTAGTAAATGGTGACTAGCTCTAAAATTACTAATACACAAAAAAAAAGGGTGACTCTGGAAATTATGAGCACCTAACAAAATTAAAAAAGGAAACTCTAAAAACTGCCACTACACTAAAAACTGTCATCTTTCTTACTCTCTTTGGCACAAATATTTATCAACACATTCTTCTTCTTTTTTCATTTAACAGAAGAGTTGGGTCATGCATCCTGACCCAATCCCGTTAGACGTAATTAACTGATACAAATTTGTAAAAAATTAATAGTTACATATTTTAAAAAAATTAAGACGATTGATTCCTGATTATTAAGTATAAATTTATATAATTGATTATATAAATTAATATAAATAAATATTGTGCGGTATGCAATAGACCTACAATACATTCAACAAATATACCTTTCTATATGGTACTATATGGTATCATAACCACATTAGAGTTTCGATCTTCAATATCCAGTTTTCTTTTTCTTTTTCATTTTTTTCGGATCACTACAGAACCAGTATTATGCCTTCCAGATTTCGAAAAAGAATACGTTGGAGTATGACACGTCAGGAGTTGGAATTGGGGCAATTTTAATGCAAGATGGAAGACCTGTATCGTATTTCAACAAAGCCTTGAGCTTTAGAACGTATCAAGGTCATCATATGAAAGGGAGTTAATGGTTGTTGCTTTAGCCATTCAACATTGGAGGCACTACTTAATATGGAGGAAATTTAAGGTTTACGACCAAAAGAGTCTTAAACAGTTTTTGCAGCAGCGAATTACAAATAAAATTCAACAAAATTCCGTCACAAACTTTTGGATTTTAATTTCGAGATAGTGTACAAACCTAGAAATAAGAATAAAGTGTTGATGCTTTGTCAAGAAAAGTTGAGGAATCAGAATTGAAGAGTATGATATATACCCCTGTTTGGTTGGACTGCCAATAGCTGGTGACAAAAGTGCATGAAGATAATAAGTGGAGGAAAGTGATAGAGGAGTTGCAACAAGGAAACAATGATAAGGTCTCCACTGGGCTAATGTACAAGTGTGAAGTTCTTCTATACAAGAGAAGATTGGAGCTTGCTTAGAATTCCTATTGGATCCCAAATCTGTTAGAAGAGTTTCATGCCTCCCCCCAAGCAGGGCACTCAGTTTCACACATTTCACGTATAAGTGTGGAGTTTCTCAAATTTGTCCAAGCCTGTGATACTTGTCAAAGGCAAAAATACATCTCTACATCCCCGGGAGGACTATTGTAGCCATTCCCAATTCCGGAGACTTAAGCATGGACTTCATTACAAGATTACCGAGATCTAGTGGATTTGAAGCTATATTGGTAGTTGTAGACTGTTTAACTAAATACACCCGTTTTGTGCAATTGAAGCATTCTTACAGTGCTGTGATGATTGCTGAAGCTTTTGTGGAAGTAGTGAGGCTCCATGGCATTCCTAATTTAGTGGTGAGTGATAGGGACCCGATGTTCATGAGCTCATTTCGGAAGGAGTTTTTCAAAATGCAGGGTACTTCACTGAAAATGAGTACAACATATCATCCTCGATAAAATGGACAGACAGAAGTGACTAAAAGATGCCTTGAAACTTATTTGCAATTTTTTATTACGACATGGATACCATGGGCAGAATTTTGGTTCAACACCGCATTTCATGACTCAATAGGTACAGTGCCATTTGAAGTTGTTTATCGGCATCAACCCCAAAAATAGTGCAAGTTGTACCAAGGGAAGTAAGAGTAGAAGTTGTTAAAAGAGAGCTCATGGATAAAGGTGAAAAGGTGAAGCTTTGAGACAATTGAAGAAGCTTTTTTCGAGGGCACAACTTAGAATGAGGTTGCAGGCCAATAAACATTGTACAGAGAAGAGTTTTCAAGCATCTGCCGAGGGCACAACTTATTAATCTTGCTATTATAGGACATGATCTATCTTTTTAAAGTTGTTTGTTAGTTAGGTCATACATCATCCTTTGTATTGATCATTGGAATATTATCATTCAAATTCTAAGATATTTTAAAAAGACCTCAGGACAAGGTTGCACTATGATGTTAAAGGAAATATCCAAATCTCCAAGCATTGTGATGCTGATTAGACAAGATCCACCATTGACAATTTCTACTACATGATATTGTGTTTTTCTTGGAGAAAATATTATTTCTTGAAAAAACAAGTAACACAATGTAGTTTCTCTATCAATTGCTTAAGATGAATGTAGGCCAATGACATCTCTTATTTGTGAACTTATATGGATGAAACAATTTCTTCGACAACTAAACTTATGTAAGATTTAGCATCCATGAGAACTAAAAACAAAAATTCACTACCACTCTATAAGACGACAAAACATTGTTTCATTCCATTTAAGAAAAGTTGTTGTCCAAGGAAATTTGTACGAAGTTTGACGAATCCAATGATCAAATTGTAGATGCGTTAATAAAATCATTAAAAGGACCTCAAATTGAATTTATTTGTTGCAAGCTTGGTACATGAAATTTCTATGCTCATGCTTGAAGGACACTGTTAGAATAGGTTTTAAATAGATTTTATTGGAAAATTGTTGTGATGTACCTATGAGTTGTACATATCTATGCATCTAAGACTCTAGTTTTGTCTTTTGATTTTCAGTCTTCCCTCCACTCATTGTATCAAAATTCTATTAATATAAATGAGAACATAAGAGAGGTTATTCAAAGTCTCGCACCTTGGAATAGAAAATTTGTGTTTGTGACATTTTATAGAACTTACTTATCTCCTTTAGGCCATAGTCGACCCATCTGCCAACGAGGCAACCCGTCAGCCTTAGCCGACTAAGCTTAAGAGAAGGTAGATTTATTCAATAGGCTTCTTCTGTATCTGCAATCATTAAGTAAGCCCTGAGCAAAATGTCACATCACTTTGAAGATCTGGACACATGACTGAATAGGATACACACACTTTATGCACCTTTGGAGAAGCCAAAATCAATGAAGAGTCGTGGCATTCATTGAACCATTATGTCTTTGAAAAGGTTGGATTTTTTTTTCCTATCTTGATTTCACATTTGCATTCTGAAGCTTTCCATACCTTAAATCCACTTGTTCTTCGAATTACTCGTTAGTATACACAGATGATCAATTTTTTGCGTGTTGGCTTTATTCATGTAGAGAAGAGAAGTATATAGCAAAGGCTTCTGCATCTTGTCATTTTATTTGGCTAAAAAAGTTCCTTAAAGAACTAAGACTTGAGGAAGTAACAAAGATATCTCATTTGTGATAACCATGTTGCTCGTCATATTCCCTTAAACCCAGTATTTCACAAGAAGAAACATATTAAGATAGATTGCCACTTAATTCGAGATAAAATTATATCTAGAGACATTATGCCTCGATTTGTTAACCTCAATGATCAATTAGAAAATATCGTCACTAAACCATTATGGGGTCCTAGGATTGATTATATATGTACCAAGCTTGGTGCATATGATTTACATGCTCAAACTTGAAAGGGAGTGTTATATACATTTTGTATGAGCTTGGGTCGTTATCATCAAGCTGAAGAGAAAAAGTTTTGATGATGTCTCAAAGTCAAGTCTCAAATGCTCTTGTTGCAAGAAGATCTTCATGAAGACTTGTTTTGTATTAAAGCTTTTGTAATTTAGTAGATTTATGTATAGGATGTGGTTTATCTTTGATTCTATGTATTGTTTGCCTTAGGTTGCGTTAAAATTCGTTTTGAATCAGAAAACCTCGTTTTATACTCAAGATAATCGATTATCAACTTGTCATAATCGATTATCAATAATCAATTATGACTTGCCATAATCGATTATCACGAGCAATTATGAGAAATTTTTAAGCAAGTTTTTGACTGTTGCGCATTCACTAACTACATAATCGATTACAATAGGTGGATAATCGGTTATCACACATTAATTAGCTGACAAAGGATTTTTAAAAGTATCTTAAGTGAGATCTCTATAAATTGGATTGGAACTCTCATTCTAAAATACAAAATACGTTGTATTCAAAATTCTTATATGTTATGTGCTATGATAAGTGTTCTAGGGTTTGTGTAACCCTTGTGCTTGTGGCTTTGAGAACTTGGTGCTAGCATAGAGCAAGAACTTTAGCAGGAGTTGTGATTGAGTGTTGTTGTTACAATTGAGTTAAAGCCTGTCATCTTTTGTGAAGATTCAAAGGAGGTGCTCATCCTTCGTGAAACATTCGGAGAAGGTGTTCATACCTTGTGGGTTTCAGGGAAAGTGAGTTTGATTTCTTGTAGTAACAAAAGAGGTGTTCTAAACTTACACTGTTATTTTCTTTGTGATTATAACCATTTGTTGGTTTGTGATAGTGCAGCGTTAATTCTCGTTTGAGATTAACAACTGGACGTAGGATCTGTGTGATCTGAACCAGTATAAAAATCACTTGTGCATTCTCTCTTCCTTACTCTTTTATTTGTTTAAATTGTTATTAAGAAATTTATATTTTCGAGAAAATTATTAAAGGTATTATTTGCAATAAGAAACCAATTCATCCCCTCTTGGTTTGTTGTACATGCTAATCATTCCACTGCACCACTCTAACAATTGGTATCTGAGTTTGCTTTGATAGTTATTCAATTTTTTTTTTTCGAAAATGTCTAAACAATATCAAACATTTGCACAGGATGCTTCAATTTACAGGCCGCTTCTTTTTGTTGGGAAAAATTATACTTTTTGGATAAGAATGCAAATATTTTTAGAGTATGTCAATATAGGTATTTGGGATACTGTTGAAAATGGTCCATATGTTCCTACTATTATTGTTAATAACGTGCAGTAACCTAAGCCCTATGCCCAATGGACTCTTGGTGAGAAAAAGAGGACTCAATATGATGTTAGGGCCAGAAATATTATTTCATCTGCTTTAACCCTTCATGAATTTTATAGGATTTCTGTTTGTAAAAGGAAACGTAGAAATTTTAAGAGTAACTCATGAAGGCAAGCAGAAGTTAAGCGTGCTCGAAAGAACTCTTTAGTCAAAGAATATGAGATGTTCTGGATGAAACACTAACAAACAATCCACAATGTTCAGAATCGTTTTACACACATTGTCAATCAACTATCCGGTTTAGGTAAGAATTTTGACATTGAAGATCTAAATATTAAAATTCTAAAATCTTTGAACAGGACATGGCAACCAAAAGTCACGACCATCACAGAGTCACAAAATCTTGCAACCATGTCTATGGCAGCTCTGTTTGGTAAATTAAGAGAACACGAGATTGCACTTGAAAGGTTGAAAGAAGAAGAGGATCAAGGAATAAAAAGAAATATTGCTTTTAAATTTGAGGTTTGCAATAGCAAAAGCGTTAAAGACAATGATGATTCTGATTGCGAAGATCTAGACTAATTGATAAAAATGCACACAAAGTTCATGAAGAACAAAGAAAAATACAAAGATCGCAAAAAGAAGAATCAAGGATCCTCCTCAAAATTTAGGTGTTACGGTTGCAGAGAATTAGGACATATCAAAGCAAATTGTCCAAATAAAGATAGAAAATTCTCCAAAATAAAGGACTGGGAAAAGTATAATTCAAGCTTTTCATCAAGCTCCGCATCAAGCATTTACAACTTTAATAAACAAGCAAATATTTGTTTAGTGGACGACGATATAGCTAGAAGCCAAGTAAGTACCTCTAGCGATTCTGATGATTCTGATGATATAGATTTTTACAAAGATGAATTGCATGGTATATTTAAGGAATTAGTGCGAGAATCAAAAAAACTAGATCTTGCTCATAAGAAATTAAAAATTGACTAAAGAATTAAAATCAAAATTTGAACATATGCTTGAAAAAAATGAAAATTTGAAAAATAAAATTTTCTATTTAGAAAAAGAAAAATTTGTTAGTAATGATGAATGTACATCTTGCATAAATTTGAATAAATTACAAGAAACAACCCATGCTGAAAGTAGTAAAAATAATTCAAACCTTAAAAAGATGGTTACAAATGTTCCTAAATATAATTATAATTATTACGATTATAATTATAATAATAAAATTAAAAATGTTCCCAAATATAATTATAATTATCATGATTATAATTATAAAAATAAAATCAAGTATGTTCCAAAATATAATCAAAATTATTATGATTATAATTATAAAAATATAAATAAAATTAAATATAGAAGAACCCGTAGAGTTTGGATAAAGAAAAGAACTACTTATAAGAATCCAAATGTTGTTACTTGTTTCTATTACATGAAAAATGGTCATACATCAAATAAATGTAGAATAAAACGTTATGGTGTTCCAAATGGAATATATACATGGATTTCTATTATAAAATAACCTGTCTCTAACTTTAAAGGACCCAAATAAGTATGTTTAGGAACCAACATATTATTTTTCTGTTTTGTAGGTTATTTCAAAATTAAGGAAGAAGCTTTTGGGTGTNAATATAATCAAAATTATTATGATTATAATTATAAAAATATAAATAAAATTAAATATAGAAGAACCCGTAGAGTTTGGATAAAGAAAAGAACTACTTATAAGAATCCAAATGTTGTTACTTGTTTCTATTACATGAAAAATGGTCATACATCAAATAAATGTAGAATAAAACGTTATGGTGTTCCAAATGGAATATATACATGGATTTCTATTATAAAATAACCTGTCTCTAACTTTAAAGGACCCAAATAAGTATGTTTAGGAACCAACATATTATTTTTCTGTTTTGTAGGTTATTTCAAAATTAAGGAAGAAGCTTTTGGGTGTACACCAAAACTTTGGTAAAGTATGGTTTGTCAAATTAAGGGAGAGTTTTTAACATGAAAAGAAAAATTTGATAATTTTTTTTAAACTACTTCTCTTTCTTCCTTAAGGTTTCAAATTTAGGGACAATTTAATTTTGCTTAAGTTATTTAATAAGGAGGATTACTTCTTTAGACTCTTTTTATTTATTTGTTATGATTTTTAAATTTTATGTATTTACTATATTTTGAATTATGCCTCCTGGTTTCCCTTTATAGTAAGGGGAGAAAATATTTAATCATACATAGTGCTTTTTAATAATGATAAAAAAGAAGGAGAAATATGTATTAAAAGACTTAATTTAATTATATTTATCTCTTGTCTGCTAATCATTTTTCTTTAAGTTATGTATGAGGTACATATTAGTATAGGTTACAAAAGAATGTAAATCAAAGAGTTTCTGATCATCATCAAAAAGAATGAGATTGTTAGCATAAAGCTGAAGAAAAGAAGTTTTGAGGATATCTCAAAGTCAAGTCTCAAGTGTTCTTATTGCAACAAAATCTTCATGAAGACTTGTTTTGTGTTAAAGCTTTTTTAATTTAGTATATTTATGTATAGGATGTGGTTTATCTTTGATTCTATGTATTGTTTGCCTTAGGTTGCGTTAAAATTCATTTTGAATCAGAAAACCTCATTTTATACTGTTGATAATCGATTATCAACTTGTCATAATCGATTATCAATAATCAATTATAACTTGCCATAATCGATTATCACGAGAAATTATGAGAATTTTTAAACAAGTGTTTTACTATTGTGCATTCACTAAATACATAATCGATTACCATAAGTGGATAATCGGTTATCATACGTTAATTAGCTGACAAAGGATTTTTAAAAGTATCCTTGAGTGAGATCTCTATAAATTGGATTGGAACTCTCTATAAATTGGATTTTTAAAAGTTTGTCATCCTTTTTGAAGATTCAAAGGAGGTGTTCATCCTTCGTGAAACATTCGGAGGAGGTGTTCATCCCTTGTGGGTTTCAGGGGAAGTGAGTTTCATCTCTTGTGGTAATAAGAGAGGTGTCCTAACTTAAATTGTGTTATTTTCTTTGTGATTGCAAGAGTTTGTTGGTTTGTGATAGTGAAGCATTAATTCTCGTTTGAGATTAACAACTGGACGTAAGGTTTCTGTGATCCAAACCAGTATAAAAGTCACCTGTGCTATTTTTTCTCTTCCTTACTCTTTTATTTGTTTAAATTATTATTAAGGAATTTATATTTTATGAGAAAATTATTAAAGGTATTATTTATGATAAGAAACTAATGCACTCCCTCTTGGTTTTAGTTGCAAATGGTTTTAGTTGCCCATCAATAAAGCAGTTCCGTTTACCAATTTGAAAATTTTGAGGGTAAATTATAGGGAGCTAAATATAAGGTCTATTTTTGTGTATATTTTACCAATTTTAAATTTATATGTGCATGTTTATGACAATATAGAATGAAAACATATTCAATGGGCATACTTAAGAAATGCTCAAAACCGAACCGCAGACATTTGGTATCTATGCATCATGTTGGGCCTACAACACCATCAGTTCAATTATTCCATTAATGCAACAATAACATGTCTACATTTTTTAATTATAGATGAGGGTTCAAACATCTCAAATTGAAACCATCGTTTTAGAATTAAATAAAAAATTATGTATACCAGAATCATATAATAGTAGAAAATAGGGAATACCTCATTCTTCGTCTGAATACTCCAAGCATGCATGGTTCCACCTCCTGAGCCTAAGACATCAAAAATAAGAAATTTTATATTCTTTATAACTCAAGGAAAATGTTAATGGTAGAAGAAACGTAACTTAATGTAGATGCAGAGTATCCATTATATATGAATCGACAATAATTGACAATAATTTCGTTTAAGAACCATGTATGATATATTACAGATCACATTTCTTATGGACTACTCTTGAGCTCAACAAAATTCAATAAGAAAATATAAAAGGAAAGCATAATTGAAAATAAAATGACATTTCTCATTTACTGATCTAACAACTTCTGCAGTTTGACCAGTCATCAACCTGATATTAATCATAAATTTCTCTTATCAATTGCCTATAATCACTTGAGAACGAAAATGAGAAAGAATGCTCAAGAGACTAATTCATCTCTTAGCTGATTCATGTATTTATAAGAGTCCTTACTCAAAAAATATCTGAAAAGACTACACAGGAGACAGAAAGTATTAAAAGAATAAGCTAAACCATTCTAATAAATTAACCTATCTAATCAAGTTGAAAAATTCTAACAGTTCTCCTCTAGTTGGATCATTAGATTTGTAGGTCAAATTTGAGCAGACCATCAATATGTGTTTTGATTAGCATAAACAAATATTAATTAATAATCTTAAACTAAAAAACAGAATCTATTGTATCATCTGAGCATGCATCATGCTTAACATATATATGTTGTACAATTACATAGTTTGTCCGGTCTTTCCTTCCTTTTAATTTTAAGACCAGACTTTGCATATGATAAACTTCGAAACTTGTCAGAAACATGACTTGTTAATGCATCTGTCTCAATATTTAATTTAAAGGATATAACACCTGATATATTTATTCGTCTATGCCAGGATTTAAAGAGAAATGAGTGTCAAGACATCACTATATTAATCACATGCAACATTTCAAAATATCATAAAAGAAAGAAGAAAATACAAAATAGTGGAGGACCAAACCTTAGCCACTAATTCTTAACCCTTTAAAGGGTAGTTAAATGTAACTCTTACAAAGACAAACGACACGAACAAGAATATTTGCAGTCAAATCTTGAAGTTAGAAAACATCTCTCAAGTCTACACATCAAAAGGTACAACCCAGAAAATATGAAAGCTCTAAAAAGCTTGTTCAGTCAGTGCTACCCATTTTCTGCTACAACAATGAAGTGAATAAAGCGGAAAAAAGGTAAGCAGGTGCCCTGCCAAGACTACTTAGGGGCATAGTCTATCAAAAAAAGGATCAAGTGGAACAGAATTTAATGTTCATCTTCAAACTCAAGCAAAGCACTTAATACATGTTGGAGATCCTAGATCAACTAGGAATAAGGCAAAATTATAATATATAAATAGAGTACAATCATCACCTTACAAGCAGGTCTTGTGAGGTTCAATTAAGCATAAACTCACTAAGATGGTGTCAAAACCTGTCCTAGTCAAGTTCTTTGGGCTATTATGTTATTGCTATCAGACTCCTATTAGACCATTCATAGATGTCTAATCTCACACTTGAAATGTTCCTTTCTTGGGGTGAGGGGGTTTGTTGGAGATCTAAATCGACAAGTGATATGCCAAAATCATAATATATAAGTAAGATGCAAACCTCTCCTTACAAACTAGTTTTGACAAGATGAGTTAGGCTTAAACTTACTTTTTAATATGATATTAAAGTATATCCTAGTGAGGTTTTTCGAGCCTATCATACCACCCCGCTTTCAAGGCACTGTCACACTACCCATAGATCTCTACATCAACACTCAAGATGTTCAGTCTTCAATGTGGAAATCCTACATCATCTTATATAAATGGAGGCAAAATGACTTTAGTCAATTAGTGTTGTATGATAAAACTCTTTCATTGGCCAGTTGGGGTTGAGAATTGCAACACCGTGATCTAACTCCTAATTCCCTTTTTTTCATGTTATTAAGCCTTTTTAGAATTTTATTCTTATATGACCAACTAAGAATAATTTTACAAAAAGATCTTTTGTCCATGACCAAAAGTGATGGAATATTACTTTATGTACTTCCAGTAAGGTAATGAGGTGGAATCAAACCAAAGTCAATTTAGAGGCTTTGAGTTAGTGAAAGCACAACCCTAGGTGTTCCTCATGAGTGTTTTTTTTTCAAATTTCTTGTTGTGAAGCCTATTTATGAATTTGTCTCAACCTTTGAAGATTGTGAATTCTTGGTGCCGGTTAAGAAGTGGACTTTAAGCTTAACTCAACCCCACAAAACTGACTTTTAAGATGAGGTTTATACTCACTTATATACTATATATTTACCTTATCTCTAGTCAATGTGGGATTCCAACACACCCCTCACGACGAGGTATATACATCTCGAGCGTGAAACTAGACATTAATGGGTGATCCAATAACAGTCCGATAGCGAGTGGAAAATAACGCCCAACAAACAATAAATATCGTTAGGATAGGATCTAACCTAGCTCTGATATCAAGTTAAGAAGTGGACTTTAAGCCTAACTTTCAATATTTTTTTCCTCAAAAGAACATTAGGCTTTAAACAAAGAAACATTGATGCCTACTTAATTTAGAGTATATATGTGGTTAATTTAGAGTATATATTTGGGTGGTGTTAGGATATTTATCCTATTTTATCATCATTATAGTGTGTCAAGGGTTGTTAGATATTAAGATGTGTGTTTTTGTTATTTGGGCTTAGTCTATTCTGTATTAGGGCATTGGCCCATATCTTACAATATAAATAAACTACCCTATGTGTATGCTAAACACA